CCCCCCCCGCCCCCGGAACAGGCAGCAGTAGGTAGACCAGATGTTTAGGAGATTCACCAGCCTGCTGAGGGCACGGAGCACACAGTGGCAGCCATCTCTCTCTGAGGCTTAGGTTCCAGGAATTGTGTTTAAATGAGGAAGCTGGCGGTCTGTGTCATTTTCGTATCCCGGGCTGCTCTGTGCTCACACAGCTGAATTTCCTCCTTCCACTCCCTGCCTGAGCCTCCTCCTCACCCGTCGCTTCCTGTTGACCAGGAACAGTTCCTGGTTCCTCACCTCTTTGCCTGAACCAAGTCAGCACTTCAGAAGAGAGCCGAGCACTGTGCTTTCTCCCTTCGTGAGCACCTCGTGGGTTTGTAGGGCCCAGGTGGAGGAGAGAGTGCCAGAAAGCACAGCCAGTGCCCTTCAGCCTCTGCTCTTTGCTTCCTCCTTCCCCTTCCTCCACTTCCTCCTCATGAGATGAAGGGCTTGGCACTGTGATGGCTGAGATTGCCAGTTGCCACATCCTGGGATCCCCTGGCTCCCTCATGTTTCCCATGGTTTTATTCCCTTCTCTTTGCCAGCTTGGGGCTCTCTCCACCCACCAAGCATCAGAGTGAGAATCAGTCAGATTTCCACACCTCAGTGTGGAAAGCACCTCTGATCCCACCTGTGCTCGGCTGCTGTCAGCCAGGCGCTTGCACGTCTCTGCCAGGCACAGAGAGCCGACCTCAAGGGGGAATGATGGAGAGAGGTCTGAGGGTCACAAGCCACCTCGTCTCATTTTTAAAAAGGCAGCTTACAAGGTTTTCCTCCATAATTATGACCCACTTTTCTAACTCTGATTCTCCTTGGAAAATGAGCAAAACTTTAAAAATGTGGTCACTCCTATTTTTTTATCTTCTGATGATCATTCTAATGGGAAGATCATTATCTCATCATCAAACTTATTTCTGTGTGTGTGTGTGTGTGTGTGTGTGCTGTATACGCTCTTCTTAGTCTTTTATTATTGTAAAATATGTATAACAGAATTTACCATTGTAACCATTTCTGAATGTACAATTCAGTGGCATTAAGTACATTCACAGTGTTGTGCAACCATCACCACTGTCTATTTCCAGATCTTTTTCATCACCCCAAACAGAAACTCAGTACCCCTTAAGCAATAACTCCCCGTTCTCCCTTCCTTCCAGCCCCTGGGGATCTATAATCTACTTTCTGTCTCTGTATTTGCCTATCCTAGATATTTCATGTAAGTAGGATCATACAGTATTTGTCCTTTTGTGTATTTCACTTAGCTAGAGTCTTCAAGGTTCATCAAGCTTATTTTTCTCTATTCTACTCTCTTTTCTAACGCAGTGCCTCCAGATTATACAGTTGAGTATAAAACTCTGTCTTCATTTCTTGTCTGTTCTGCGAGAGTCAGAATTGGCTGGCTGATGCTTTTAATGCCCACAGTGGGGCGGGTCATAGGTTTTTGGAGCAAAGGTACTGTGGTTGCAGGTACTTTTAAAAACATCCCTGCCAAGGCAGGAATTTGTGGCAGTTACCAAATAAGTAAAATGTGTCTGTACGTACTTGCAGCCCAGTGAGCACGACACTATTTAAAAAAGGCCTGTTCAGTGAAATGGGAACTTTTAATGACTCTCTGTAAATTGTTGCTTTGGGAACCTCCATAACTGATACACTGCTTGGTTGTCATTGAATTGTTTTCTGAATTTAGCATTATTAATCTTCGTCATAAGAGCCGTAGAGGCAAAATAGCTAAGCACTGGGCCTACAAAAGGTTGGCAGTTTGAACCCACTCAGCAGCTTCGAAGGAGAAAGACCTGGCGATCTGCTCCCATAAAGATTCCAAACCAAAACCTGTTGGCATCGAGTCGATTCTGACTCATGGCAACCCTATGGATTAGAGCCTAGGAAACCCTATGGGGCAGCTCTGCTGTGTCACACGGGGTCACTAGGAGTCAGTATTGACTCAGCGGCACCTAACAACAACAGCAGTCTTCGTCGTGGGACGTCAGTCTGTCCAAACCAACTGTAAAAGTGAAGCATTGACCTGCGTGAAAATTACAGGGTAAATCGTGTAATAGGTAGAAGCAGGGAAGCAGTTATTTGCTTTGAAATCAAGTATCCTATCATAGTAGCTTCTGACGTCTTCTTTCTGCCTGACTCTCTCCACCTTGCATTATATGCAGAAGCCCTGATGTTGCCTTTTGAGGATAAAATGTTAAAAGGAAAAGCATTTTTTTCTTACTTAAAATGGGGCCAAATGATCATTAAATATTGTGTACAATTTTTAGTGGAAAGCAAGAAGTAATTGGAAAGATGCACAGTAAAGGTTAAAATCCTTAACTACTAGTCTTCATGCAAAAGCATGATACCCATTACCCATTGCCGTCGAGTTGATTCTGACTCAAAGTGACCCTATAGGACAAAGTAGAACTGCGGCATAGGCTTTCCAAGGAGCAGCTGGTGGATTGGAACAGCTGACCTTTTTGGTTAGCAGTCTGAGTTCCTAACCACTACGCCTCCAGGGCTCCATAATTATGATAGTTTTTTAAAATTCAAGCTAAATGTTTAAATTAAAGAAATTTTTAAAATAGCTGTAGCAGAAAGCCCCTACTGAGCTTTGTAAAGCAAAGGTGGGGGTGGGGGGGTGGGTATGGTTCTCAGGCGCTGCGGTGCTTTAGTGTCTGTCAGGTAGCTTCTCCACAGTCCTGCTGCCAGACACCCCTCCTGGATCCCTGAGTCTACTCCTTGCTTAGTCCCAGCATCTGTATTCCTAAAAAGCCCCACTGGTGACTGGGGAGTAAACGCCCCTTCCTTTTAAGACACTGATGGCGGGACTCGGTGGTGCTGTTGTCTCAGGGTGCTGTGTTCCACAACATTGATTGCACTCAGTGAACGACGCCCCCTGGAGTTGTGTAGTATGCTAGTCCTGCCCCCAGAAAACACGCAGCCCCTCAGCTAACTCAGGCGGGAGGCCAGCTCTGTTCCCTGGCCAAGGGCTCTCTGGCTCCCCCGCCTGCTCTCTAGCAGGGCAACCCACACAACTCCAAGGTAAGGCTGATGTGTGTTTGAAGGGAGCTGTGCTGCGGGACTTGGCCACCAGCTCTGGATGACGTGTTTGATGAGGGCGATCCCAAGGTCACTAGACGGAGGCACTGGGCCGGCACTGGGCTGCAGCTCCCGAGTCCTGTGTGGTAATACACGAAACCTTTCCCCTGCAAAATTGGAAAGGAGGACCTTAGAATCTAGTGACTGGGGGGAAAGAGAACAATCTGGTGACACAGTGAACAATTAACTACCACCTTCTCTCCCGTGAAGCCTCCCAGTCTCTTCCCTCTCCTCCTTCCTTCCTCTGCACACTCTGCCCCTGCACCCTTGCCCGCTTGCCCTTTTCTTCCCCCTCATGCTGATCCAGGTAGGCAGGGGCAAATTGAAGGGGAGCCTCACTTGCATTTTGAAGCATCATGTTTACAGTACAAAAAGAATCCAAATAGGAAATGAGGATAAACAAAACCAGCCAGGGGGTGGGGTGGGGGTGTGTGGGGTGGGGGTGGGGGTTGCTATCTCCTGCGTTTGCCCCGTTTGTGGAGTTTGGAGGACAGTAACAGAATGGGGTGGGTGAGGGCAGGGCGGGACTTGTGAGCCTGGCTGGTTCCCAGCCCTGGGTCTTCACTGGTCACTGTTTACTACCTAGCAGGAGCTCAGTGCAGCGGAACAAAGAACCTTTAATGCCGCAAGGAGACCTCCTCCTCCAGGCTGGGAGGACCACAGTAACCTTGGGCAGGGGTCACTGGCCAGCGAGTCAGGCCCCAGCAGCCCTGGGAAGTCAGAGCTCACTGCTTTTAGTGGGCGCTTGGGGTGCCCAGAGCCACCCGGCCCAGGGGAGCCCAGCTCCCAGGGCTGCCTGCCTTCTTCCAGGTGGAGTGATAGCCAGGGGCTCAAGATTCCTCCCAGAAGGCCGAGTGCTCGGGATTGTTAATAAGCATCCTTTACTTTTGATATAATATACGTGTTTTCTAGCCAGGCTCTAAAATCCCTTCACTTACACTTTCGCTCTGTTTTTGTCATTATTGACATCTTTAATTGTAATACCATTGTTTTACTTTAAACGTGTATGTCTTGGTTTCATTGTTAAATGTCTCCTAGCACTTAGAGGACAAAAACTCATTCCATTCCACTCAGGATAAGCAAAAATGATCGTTTTAGTTACTGGTGTTCTCAGTATTTTTTTTTTAATGTGATTTGTTTATTTTCTTACAAGGTAGGGGTGGAGGAGGGGGGAAAACAAATGTCAATATTCCCAGGAAAGTAAATCAAAAGCGACTTTTACTTTTCATTTCGTTAGAAAGCCAGATAAATATATATTTTTTTCCTGTTCAGGTCAGAAGCCCTTCCCTTGTCAAAAATGCGATGCCTTCTTTTCTACCAAATCTAACTGTGAACGCCACCAGTTACGCAAACACGGAGTTACCAACTGTACCCTGAGAAGAAACGGGCTTTTCCCCCAGTCCAAAGAGAGAGATGTTGGAGCTCATGATAGCACAGGTAGTGCCGCCAGGTTGTCGAGAGAGGGAGAGAGACGAGGGCTCTTCATGTGTGCTTGGCTAAGAGTTATAGAAATCTCTTACCATCCAAGTTGTGGTGGGCTGGATTTCCAACGTCTTTGTTGGATTTAGAATCCAGAAAGGTGGATCCTGCCGGGGATTTGAACGTGACCCCCAGGTCAGGTCTGCCGAGACACTTTAGCCAGAATCCCAAGGGGCTGGGGACCCAGCGCTAGTGCCCCCAAGACTGTATGTCTGCGTGCCAGGGCCACCTTGCTGCCCTCACAGCAGACACCTTTGTGGATGGTTTGGGCATCTCTGGGAGGTGGGGGTGAGGGAGGGCCTAATTTTAGCCAATTGGTATGAACACATCTAAATGTATGTGAAACATGAAAGGCTTTGGGGTATTGGTTTTTCAACCCCAGCCTCTTCCCCGTCGTGAAGAGCAGGGACGGACTTGTCAGCATCTCGGAATCCCAGTAGATGGGGATCCCACAGGCCTAGTGATGCTGAGGGGAAAGGGTGGGGGCTGTTTTCAGTTAACTCTCTCCCCAGTCAGTATCAGCCTGTCCTGGTACTTGAAAGAGCACGCTGCATGTCCTTTCTGTAATCACGTCTCTGCCTGGCCTGCATCGGGTATTACTCTGATCTGCTGGTTTGTGCTTCTTCCTCCAGCCCCCTGCAGAGCAATTAACAGCTGCCCAGACTTCTGCCACCTTTTTTTCTCCTTACAACTTCTGTATTCACCGGTGTCCTTTCAGTAGTTCCATCTTCTCCAGCTGCTGGGGTTCTCCGCCCCCACCCCAGCCCCAAAGCACCAGAACAAAACACAAAACAGGCAACTGCAGGTTGGCTCTAGGTTAATAACAGGATTACAGGGGCTGGATTTGGTTCCCAAATCCTGAAAGCCTTGCCAGTTCCCCATTGCTCGGGAGCCTAGGAGAGCCCCATAACTGTGGGTCTCTAGGGTCCCACTGTGTCCTGTGGCTTCTTCCTCTGGCTGGGGTAGGGGTGGGGTGTTGGTCTGGGAGTTGCCACAGGCTGGGGGTCAGTGTGTACTGGAGCGGGGGCATTGAGATGTGCCTGTGTCACACGTGGAGGGGATTCCAGCCCATCTGCCCCAGGCACCTTGTCCTTATCTCGGGACGGGGGGCATCTGCATGGGTAGCATTTCCAGGTCCCTGGTAGGAGGAGAGAGGAGCCCTGGTGGCACAGTGGTTAATCACTCAACTGCGAACTGCAAGGTCAGTGGTTCGAACCCACCAGCTGCTCTGCGGGAGAAAGATGTGGCAATCTACTTCCATAAAGATTACAGCCTTGGAAACCCTATGGGGCAATGTTACTCCGTCCTTATAGGGTCCCTATGAGTCAGAATCGACTTGACAGCAGCGGGTTTGGGGTCTTTGTTTTGTTTTGTTTTTTTGATAGGAGGAGGAGGCATTGCTTCACCAGCAGGAAGCCCACCCTCTGTGCCTTTTCCACACCCCTCCCACCGAGCCCCAGTAAAATAAATCCTCAAGTGCCATTGAGCTGGCTGGTCCTTCCATGTAGACTTAGATGCTCTGTGGCTCTAAAGGAGCCCTAGTGGCACAGTGGTTAATTAAGCGCTCAGCTGCTAACCAAAAGGTCAGCAGTGCGAACCCACCAGCCGCTCTTTGGTAACCTCATGGGGCAGTTCTACTCTGCCCTGTGGGGTTGCTATGAGTCGGAATCGACTCAATGGCAGCAGGTTTGGTTTTGGTTTTAGGTGTGGCTCTAAAGGGCCTTGTGGTGCAGTGGTTAAGCGCTCGGCTGCTAACCCAAAGGTCAGCAGTTCGAACCCACCAGCTGCTCCATGGGAGAAAGATGTGGCAGACTGCTTCCCTAAAAATTTACAGCCGTATGTCTTGGGTCTTAAAAGCTAGTGAGCGGCCATCTAAGATGCATCAATTGGTCCCAACCACCTGGAGTAAAGGAAAATGAAGAACACCAAAGACACAAGGAAAGTAGTAGCCCAAGAGACAGAAAGGGCTACATAAACCAGAGACTTCATCAGCCTGAGACCAGAAGAACTAGATGGTGCCTGGCTACCACCAGTGACCACCCTGACAGGGAACAAAGCAAAGAGTCCCTGATGGAGCAGGAGAAAAGTGGGGTGCAGAACTCAAATTCTAGTTAAAAGACCAGACTTAATGGTTTGATTGAGACTGGAGGGACCCCGGAAGACATGGACCCCAGACTCTCAGCCCAAAACTAAAACCATTCCCGAGGCCAGGTCTTCAGACAAAGATTAGACTGGACTATGGGACATAAAATGATACTCATGAAGAGTGCTTCTTAGCTCAAGTAGATACATGAGACTAAACAGGCAGCTCCTGTCCAAAGGTGAGATGAGAAGGCAGAGAGGGGTCAGGAGCTGATTGAATGGACACGAGAAATCGGGGGTGGAAAGGAGGAGTGTGCTGTCACAGTACAGGGAGAGCAACTAGGGTCACATACCAATGTGTGTGTAAATGTTTGTATGAGAGACTAACTTGAATTGTAAACTTCCACTTAAAGCACAACAAGAAAAATAGAATAAAAAAAGATTTACAGCCTTAGAAACCCTGTGGGGCAGTTCTTCTCTGTCCTTTAGGGTTGCTGAGTCGGAATTGATTCAGCAGCAGTGGGTTTGGTTGTTTTGGTTATAGCTGTACAACTGAGGGCAGTGGGGGCTCAGTAGTAGGATTCTCACCTTCCATGCAGAGACCTGGTTTGAATTCCAACCAGTACATGTCATATGCAGCCACCACTGGTCTGTCATTGGAGGCTTGCCTGTTGCTATGATGCTGAACAGGTTTCAGCGGAGCTTCCAGACTAAGATGGACTAAGAAGAAAGGCTTGGTGATCCACTTCCAAAAGTCAGCCACTGAAAGCCCAGTGGGTCACAGTGATTTTATCCTCAACCAATTACAGGGATAGCACAGGACTGGGCAGCGTTTTGTGCATGAGGTCACCATGAGTCGGGGGGCCAACTCACAGGCAGCTGACAGGGTTCCCTGGGAGCCAGGGATTGCTGGGATCATCTGCTGCCCAGGAAACCCACAGTGAGCTTCAGAACACACATTGGGGGCAGACAGTCCATCGCTGTTCATGTTTAATGGTCACCAGTCATTACTTGTTGGCCCATAGCACTCTCTTGCAGCTCAGTAGTTTATCCACAGTACTTCTGAAGGCGGGAAAGCCACTGGTCACTAAGGTGCTTGAAGGGAGTGTGCTTTCCTATGGCTGGAAAATCTTAAAGCGTCATAGCCCTGTGTTGGCTGCATATTTTGCATTCACTATCCTGATCATACAGGAGGAACACAAAAACTCCTGCCACCATCTGCCCGGGCAGCTCTACAGAAGCCTGCAGACACAAAGAGTGTAAGTCAGAACTCAGAGCCTTAGCTTCCGCGCAGGGACAAAGCTTCTGGAAAAGAAAATTCACTAAAAGTTGTAATGTGAAACCAGCAGAGAGAAAATATATGTTTGGTTTAACTGTGGTCACGATCTGTGGTAAGACAGAGGACTGAGATTTCAGATGGAGAGAGAGGAGGCCAGGAGGCAGCGTTCAGTGACTTCAAGGAAGGGTTTAGGACCAGGTGAGCATGATGGGGGTGGAGCCTTTGAAGGGGCTCCCTCCCTTGAAGTTAAAAGTGAGGCTTTGGGGGAAGACCATTTAAAAGCAAAGGCAGGTACAACCAAAGGACTTCCTGCAGGGTTTTCTAGCTTTATATGTCTGGATTATATTTTCTTAAAGTCCTTCAACATATGTTATATAGCAGGAGTCTGCCTTTTTCCATCATACAGAGTCCTCCACAAGTCTAGACCCTAGATTTTCCCCTAAGAACTGCTAAAAATGCTGCAGTGGGGGGAATTCTAGCTAGTGGGCCATATAAAATATTCGGAGTTAAACTGGAACTCGTAAGCTATCTCTGTGGGCAGAGTGTGGTGGCCCATTCTGTCCTTGTAGCAGCATTATGTGGCAGTGGGCACCTACATTGCAGACTTCTAGAATCAATAGAAAGTCTGTCAGTACTGTGTCCCCCTACCAGCCTGGGAGCCCCACCTCCAGCGTGGATGGCACTGCAGGAAATGCTTCTGGCACTGGAGTGCGTTAGGCAGAGCATACCTCCTCAGTGCACGGCCATTGCCCAGTCAGATCAGTGATTTCAATCGGTAATTTTGTCAAGTTGATTTCTAGGAAGCAGTAGCTCTTCTGTTGGGATGATTGGGAACATCTCTACTTCTCCGTAGGAGCAGCTGCAGGTTGCTACCGATTAGGCTATCAGGATTTGTCTTGAGGGGGAGACCAAAATAGGACCTGGTATTACATGTTGGGTATTCTTGATATGTGAAGAGGTTCAAGTCTATTGTTCAAGAAACTCAGGAATCAGTTGGATTTGCTTCAAATGTGAAGGGCAGGGGCTACCCTGCTCAAACACTCCCCCTAGTGGAAGTCGTGTAGAATGTAACCAAGCTCCCTTTTGTTCCCCAGAGGACGTTAAGTAAGAGGGTGAATGTACCGTTTTCCACGCAAGACTGAGTTGAAGGAGTTTTTGGTGGCTCCTTTGGTGAGAAAAAATGAACAGTTAAGAGGAACAGCCGAGAATATACCAAGACAAAGTGGAAGACACCAGAGATACAAGCCTTACTTTTTTTCCTTTTTAAAATTAACTGCCCACAGAGTCAGCGCATTAGAAACCGAGCATTCTGTGTCTTAATTGTAAGAGTTGATACCAAAATTCATTTGCTAGATGTTCTCTGTTGAAATGATTGAAGAAAGCATCTCGTTTTTCCTTGGAACACACCCCAGACATTGGTGTGCATCTCCCAAGATTCCTATTCTCTAAGCTTTTGGATAATTTCCAAAAATTGTTTCTTTTCAAAAATTTTGTATTCATAACCACAGTTACTTGTTTCCTTCTGAAGCCTCTCTAGACACCCCAAGAGTGACTCCCAAAAGGTGCAGTCAGAGTACAGGCAGTCCCTGGATTACGAATGAGTTCCGTTCCTGAGTCTTTAAGTCAAATTTGTACGTAGGTCAAAACAGTTCGGTATTAGATAGGTTTGTATCTAACGTCAGTTAGTCAAATGTTTGTCTTAGTATATATCTGTGCATAAAAAACATAAAACACTTCCAGATACACTAAAACATCTTTAACATAATAATACAGTAATAATAATGTTTTGATACACGTTGCAAGTAGCGCCTATTCTTACGAACCACTGTATGTACCTGGAATTTTTAATATAATAGGCCTTACGGAGGGGTTGGTTCATAACGCAGGGACTGCCTGTAAAGATAAATAAAGTATGTGGAGGATTTCTGATGTCACAGTGGTTAAGAGCTCAGCTGCTAACCAAAAGGTTGGCGGTTCGAATCCACCAGCTGCTCCTTGGAAACCCTACGGGGCAGTTCTACACTGTCCTGTAAGGTTGCTATGAGTCAGAATCAACTCCACAGCAACAGTGTTTGTTTTTTTTAATGAAGTAAAGTACGCGAAAGTCCTGTGCAAACGACTGTTGGTAAGCCGGCAAGCACCCACACAGGTGTGAAGAATAGGTGTTGGTCTCTTCAAACCATGGGGTAGGCAGGAACTAACTCCTTTGTCCTACCCTATGACCCACTTGATTGCAAATAACCGACTGTATGAAACTGAGGGAAAACAGGGTACGTAGGTTGACATTTTGGTCCCTCTAGTAGAAAAAGTAGGATCCAGCTTAGACGCAGTGATCCTTTGCTGCCTGAGAGCCGTAATCGCAGATCTAAGATCTTGAAAGATGTGCATCTCATGTTTGTGCTGTGAAATGATGCATTGAGCCAGCCTGATCATCAGTAGAATTAACTGGCCGCTGAATCTCCAGCTAAAGAGCAGGCACCAGCACGCTTCACCTTCACAGTCATAGAACCAGAACCTTTAAAAGGCATTCAGTTCTCATTCAGCCTTAATAAGAAGGAGAGTGTGCTTGTGACAGTACTGCCACCTGTTCAGTGTGGCTCATGTTGCCACACCACTATCCCTTCAGGAGGCCACTACAAACTGGGGAAGGTGGACAGATAGACACAGCCAAGGGATGTAAATCAAAGCTGGCAAGATCCCTCATCTCCCCACACTCCTCACACCCTACACAGCCTCCTCCTCTTCTCTGGGTGCTCCAACCATACCTGGCATAGATGGGGGACCTTCTCTTTGACATGTGTCTGCTGTCATCTGGGTACTAACCACAGCCAGGGAAGGCACACGTGTGCATGTATCTCCTTTTGCTTCTGACTTCTCTACCTGCAGGTTAGGCAAGTGTGTGGGTGCTGTATACACAGGACATTTGCTGTGAAATTCTCATCAGATGCTGTGTTTCCGAGTATTGGGGGGTGGGGTATGTGCTGCATGTTTGAGTAATCTTTTTGCACTAGAAAAATAACTTTTACACCTTGTCTTCCTCCTCCTCACTAGTGCTGTGAGTCTCTGGAGTGCACCCAGCTCTGCTCTCCCCAAGCTCCCTCTTTGCACTGCCCTGGGCCACTCACCTTCTCGGGCAGTGGGGGTCAGGGTGGGCAGCTCATGGGTGGGGGCAGGACTTCTGAGGCACAGACAGCCCTGCACTCCCAACCTATGTATAAGTGGAGGCAATTTCTACCTTTCTTAAGTCTCCCAAGTTCGCCTTGACTGTCTGCGGGGTGGAAGGGGTGATGAGAATTTGGGGCAGGAGAGATCCTTGCTGGGTTTGAGATATGGGTTGCTAGGGAGTGGGTTCATCTGGAAGGGGGCTTTTTGGTAGGTTTCCCGTCTCAGGCCCTTCTTCCTCTGTGCTTGCTCACAGATAGCCAGTCGGACACGGAGACATCAGTGGCAGGAAATGAGGTGCTGGACCTGACCTCGCGGGAGAAGGAGCAGCAGATGCCAGAGGGGGCCCCTGAGCCCAGCCAGGTCGGAGAAGACCCTCCTGCACAGGAGGGCAAGCGGGGAGCAGCCTCCCCTGCAAGCGGGGAGGAGAAGGGAGAGGAGGAGGAGGATGGGGAGCAAGAGGAGACACATGTTACAGAGGAGAAGGACGAGGACGCTGAGGGGCTGGAGGAGGACACCGTCAGCAACAAGAGCCTGGATCTCAACTTCGCCAGCAAGCTGATGGACTTCAAGCTGGCCGAGGGCGCCACGGGTGGTGAGGGCTCCCCCCAGCAGGAGCTGAAGCACACCTGCAACATCTGTGGAAAGAACTTCAAGTTCCTGGGGACCCTGAGCCGCCACAAGAAGGCCCACAGCCGTGAGGAGCAGGAGGAGGGCAGGCACGGAGGGGCTGAGGGGCCCACCCCTGCAGCCAGCCCTGCCCCCGAGCCGGAGGAGGCGCCTGCAGGCTCTGCAGCTGTGGAGCCAGGTGCCGGGGAGGCCTTGGGGGAGAAGCCACAGGAGGAGGTGGAGGGCATCTCCGAAGGGGAGAGCGCAGCTGAGAAGAAGGCCTCGGAGAAGAGCGATGATGACAGGAAGCCAAAGACAGACTCCCCCAAGAGCACGGCCAGCAAGGCCGACAAGAGGAAGAAAGTGTGCAGTGTGTGCAATAAGAGGTTCTGGTCGCTGCAGGACCTGACTCGGCACATGAGGTCACACACAGGTAAGGGGCCGGGTGGAGTCGGGGGCGCGGGGACAGGCTAACGTGTGCCCTTGCTTCAGGGCACCAGGCACCCCAGAGAGGGGGCGCCTGCTCACAGGAGCTGAGCTCTGGCCCTGCCCCTCTCAGGCCCCCACACTCAGACAAGGAGCCAGCCCCTAGGAGCCTCCGTGAGGAAGGTGGAGACAGGGCGACAGGCAGTGTACTTGGAACAGCATGTACGTCCTTCCTGCCTGAGTGAGACAGAGATTTCACCAGCCGTTGTTGAGCACATGCAGGCTGCTCTCGGGAGCATTATAGACCAACTAGACCTGTGGCCCTCTGAGCCTCAGTCTCCCCATCTGTGGAGTGGGTAGGTGACTGCCCTGTCTCACAGGTGGGCCGGAGTATCTCCAAACACTTTGTATGCTGGGTCTCGTTTCGTTCTGAGTGTGGCTCTGGGAAGGAGTTACGGGATTTGGCCTGGGCAGCAGCAGCAGAGCCATGTTCTCTGTGACAGCGCCCCAGACCTCTGCTGGGAAGCCCCGGTGTTCCCATCCGTCAGCAGTAAGTCGGGAAGCTTGTTGCATGCCCGCGCATCGCAGGGACTTGTTAAGTTTGCTTCAGCGGAGCTGCAGAGACTGTACCAGGACCCTTGGCTGGCTGCTGCGCCGGCGCAAGGGGCAGGGCATCCTGGTTGAGCATTAGCCTCGGTCCTCCTGGAGCCCATCACCCAGGAGCAGGGACAGACCCCAAAGCGAGCGTGATGCACTCATGAAGCCGCATGATACAAACACCCTTCCTCTGTCACAGGAACATCAGGCCCGCTCACTTGGTCTCTCTCCCACTCCCCCCATTGATGCATCCCCACAGCACGCACACTCATCTGCACAGTCATCCCCGCACTCACGCCTGCACCCACACACCTGCGCTCACATGCTCACTCCAGCACTGACACACACACTCATGCTCACCCGAGCATTCACACACTCATGCTCGCCCCGGCGTTCACACAGACACTCATGCTCGCCTCAGTGCTCACACACACACACGCTTATGCTCGCCCCAGCGCTCACACTCATGCTCACCCCGGCGCTTACACGCTCATGCTCATCCCAGCACTCACACACACACATGCTCACCCCAGTGCTCACACACACACACACACGTGCTCACCGCAGTGCTCACACACACATGCTTATGCTCGCCCCAGCACTGAGACACATGCCCACCCCAGCGCTTACACAGATACACACATGCTCGCCCCAGTGCTCACACACATACGCTCACCCCAGCACTCACACACACATCCCGCTTGTGCACGTCAGCCTGGCCCAGGCCGTGGCCTCTTGGGTGAGTTGCAGGCCTGTGGTGTTTGGTTCTCAACAGAGGGATATTCTTGGGCTCCCAACAGGTGTTGTCCTCAGCTGCTCAGTGTATTGAGCAGGAGGGAAGCCACAGCTGCTCCGTGTCATAGCTCAGGGCATGCCTCTGCCCTGACTGGCACAGGGCCACTGTCCTGCCATCCCACCACCCCATGAGAGGCCCTTCTGACCCAGGCCAGCCTGGATCCCCTGAGGCTTCTGCTTTGACATCCTTGATCAGAATATAAAATCACGGGCTGGGAGGCTCCTGGGGGAGAGAAAGTGCCCCTTTTATGTCTGCTCCCCAGGTGGCCAGTGCAGACAGACAGGAGTTCCCCAGGTAGGAGGGAGCCCTGGGCCCCCTACCAGGTCCCCACGAACCTTCATTTGTCAGTCTGGCTGCAGCTCTCGTGCAGAGCAGGGGACCGATGGTGCTGGGCTTGTCCCTTACGGACACTGCTTTTATGTCCTGTCACTGCAGGGGAAAGGCCGTACAAGTGCCAGACCTGCGAGCGCACCTTCACGCTGAAGCACAGCCTGGTCCGCCATCAGCGCATCCACCAGAAGGCCCGGCACCACGGGAAGGACGGCGACCAGGACGAGAAGGGCGAGGAGGACAGCGAAAACGAGTCCACCCACAGTGGCAACAACCCCATCTCAGAGAACGAGGCCGAGGCCACGCTGACCACCAGCAACCACATGGCCATCACGCGGAGCCGCAAGGAGAGCTTGGCCAACGCGGCCAAGGAGGCCAGTCGCAAGGAAGAGAAGGCGGCGGGTCGGACGGCTGCTGCCTGCCAGGCTGACTCCGGCAAGAGTGCACCCAAGGCGGCCTCCGGGGCCGGCCCCAAGGAGCAGGCGTCTCAGGGTACGGCTGGCCAGGAGGGCCCGGCGGCCGAGGCGCAGGACCTGCTGGAGCTGCCCGGCAGGAGGCTGGCCCAGCCCGTCCTGGTCACCGCCGAGGGCTCCGCTCAGCTCCTGGGAATGGAATAAGGTGTGTCCTGTCCCCCAGCACACAGAGCCAGCAGAGCAAAGCGCCCCGAGTCTGCGTTCGCCCCGAGTTTGCGCTCGCGAGGCTTCCTCAGTGCCCTTCCGCAGTTGGGAAGCGTGAGTGCGCGCACGCGGGAGCAAAGCAGGACCAAGGCTGACCCGCCTCCGTTCCATAGCCTTGCGGCCTCACCAGCACCACACAACACACAGACAGATCCAGTGCCTTAACTACTTTACCCAGACCGTTTGGTATCAGAGTTTTTGTTTTGTTTCTCAAATGACTTAAAAAAGAAGAAAAAAAAAAAAGCAAAACGAATCTTTTGATGAATTGTTTGGAGAGGACTTTTTCATTTAAGCATTAATGTTACCTTTCGTATTGGTGTGTGTGAGCTTGTTGTGAATCTGTGATAGTACTGTTCTGTGAGCTGGAAACAGAAGAAAAAAAATGCCCGTGGATACCTATAGCCAATAACTGGAATAAAATGATGTGAATTTCATGTAAATTACCAGAGGAAATATGGATAAAATGCTAATTTCTCAAATAGACCTTTTTTTTTTTTCTTTTTTCTGTTGGCTACATGGTAGAGCTGAATCTTGTCCCTGGTGTTAAAGGAGGTGGATGATGAAGGTTTCTTATTTGGTTCAAGCCCAAACCGGGAAAGATTCCAGCCTCCACCTCGCACTGTTGCCACTCCTGCCCCGTTAGAGATGGTCTTAGTGCTCACGTCTCGAGACATTCGTTCTTGCCTTACAGAGAAGAGTTACCCCGGCAACGTAACCTATGGAAATATTATGCACAACTGTCATAGATTTTATTTCCCCCCTTTCAATATATGTATTATTAATATTATTATTATTATATTATTATTTGTAATTCATCAGTCTGCGAGTCTCTGCATTCAGCAGAAACAAATGGGCAATATTTGTCCCGCGAGCCCCGTGTCGCTGCCGGGGCCCCGCGTTTTGTGTCTGGCCACGGCGGGGCCGGCACCCTTGTGGTAGCTCTTCTACTGTACTTAGACCAGCCTTTCTTCCACGACTGGAGAATCCACAGGAAGCAGTGAGTGTCCTCAAGAACCAGCAGGGGAGCAGCTCAGGGGGCGGGGGAGCGTGTCCCTGCGAGTGTCCGGGAACAGCGGTCTGAGGAGCCTGAGGACCGCTCGAGACGTCAGGTGGTGGTGAGCAAGGTCTTCTCAGTCTTCCTGTTAAACTGTTAAACTCAGCACCAGCCTTCCCCCGTTGCGTTACTGCCATCTGGAAAGCGAGGAAATACTACTACTGGTAATATAACTACACGTGCGAGAGTAAGAAAAATAAATGGGTAATTACCTTCCTACAGTTTAGGGTTGGTGCTTGAAGATGAAACTTGCTGTTTGTAGTTTGTTAAATAGCCTGGGTGCAAAAAGGCAGGCTTTTTCCCCCGTGAGCATCCCGTGCAGGCAATAGGATTCCCTCGCTGCAGCCGCCAGCAGTGGAAAGAAATAGATTCTACTGTAGCTGAGCTCCCGTTCAGCATCTGCCCTCCGCGAGACCTCTGGGACGCCCGAGCAGTAGAGCTGCCCCGGGCTTCCTGTCCTGTCCGCCACTTGAACCCTCTTGCCTCACCCTGCAGGAGGCAGCCCCAGCCCCCTTCCCAGGACCCGCCCTCTGTGACCCCACGTGCTCCTCCTGTGCTTACTCTACACTCGTGCACACAGAGACGCACAGTCCTTTGTTTCTCCACTTCTTCACCCATTTCTGGTGGCTGAAATCCAACTGCCCGACGCCAACGGAAGGCGCATGCATACTCTTGAGAGAATGAAAAGTGATACCGTTGCATGTGAAAGGAAGGTTGAGGTATATATGACTTCTAACTGTGTGAGGGATGTATGAACGAGTTTGAAAATGAGGTTTGATGAGTCTAGATGAATGCCAATCAGAACCAATGATCCCTTGCCTAACTTTACCAAGCGTGGTCTCCTTGTGAAAACCAGTTCATACGGCCCTTGATTTTTTTTCTTTTTTATTACTATTGTTATTGTTATTTTTGTTGTTATTATTTGGGGTTTCTTGTGTTTTTGTTCTTCTTTTGCAACTCCCCACACTAAAACTCGCAATATTGTGGGGGAGAAGCCATGAGTAAACTCTACGCTGCCGTGAGATGTAGGGGTAATCAGCTCCCAGCAACGTAGCCGGGACTGCAGCTCGCAATAATCACTATTGATTTAAAGCTTTATTTAGCCTTTATCTATACCCTCGTAGTCGATAAGGTCTTGCCACGTTTTATTAGTGAGGTTGAGAAATGTAGTATTTGTTTGTTGTTCCCCTCCGGCCCCCAGTATTAAACTGTGAAATTTGTGATTTGTTTAAACTCTGGGTGAATCATAGCTTAGTTTGCATGTCAGCTAATTTGTTTCTATACATTTTGTTTGATTCTCTTTTTCCTTCTCTCAGGGCTTTTACAAAAAATATATATATATGGATCTTCTGAAAAGTTTTTCGAGGTGCAAGTTTTTCTCTTTGTTTTTCTCGTTGATTGAGAACATAATGCTGAGATTCAATCACTACACTAAACACGTGACTGTGAAAGCAAAACAAAAAAACCCCTGAATGGCTGTTTTCCAGATCACTCTGGGGAAGCTACGCAACAGTCAGATGCCAGTTTCAGAAAGATTCATGTATCTCCTGACCCTCTGCTGGTCTCTCTCCTCTCCTCCCTTTCTTCAAGAAGGAAGTTAATCCTAGTGATTTCAGCCCATGCATTAAACAGGAAACAATAATAAATGTGTAGAATTCATATTTTTCTAAAGGGAACTTAAAAACTGCTGCTACATGTTATGTACAAAACTGGTTTATGCCACATGAACAGAGAATCACAAGTTGGGTTTTGGTACTTATGTTCCTCTTTGCGTTCAATTGTATAGTACTTCCAAATTCAAAATGAAAAGAAAAGCTGTTCTGTATCAAACATCTAAGCAATAAAATGGTATATTTTAAAAATTACAGCTTGCCCATCACATGGCCGTCCTCTGATTTTCTGTAATCCTGTCGTCGTGCCCCACCCCAGGCGTGCAGCCCATTCGAGGGCAGGTAATCCACGTTACCTGCTGGCCGACGGGTTATCTGTGTTTGATGTCACTGGGGGGATCGCCAGGCCTGTTTCCGCCAGCATGGGCAGCTGGAGTGGCTTCGGAACAGGGGCAGCATCGTATTTAAGCGGGCCTCTTGCACTTGGTTGCAGTCGCAGTGACTGCCTTGGAGGAGAGTGGAAAGTTACCGAAGTACATGATGGTTGCTGGAGCTTAGGTACAGGAAACTTCACGTAGCTTGCTGCACGGGGTTGGCCTCCTCCAAGGCCAGCAGGGCGGGACCTGAGGGCGTGAGGGGCCAAAGGTGGGTCATGGCTACTCTCGGTCCATTTTTAGCAACAGCTGAAGCCAAGCATATTATCGGGAAACAACTCCTAAGAAGTCCACTTTGCCTTTTCCTCCTCCCCAACCAGTTAGAAGGGATTGGGTTACCCAAGTGGAGGAGGGGGCTTGACAGGCCAGTGACACCCCCCGTCCCGGGCGGGAGGAGGTGGGTAGGGGGGTGGCAAATCCCCGGCTTAGGGGAATCTGTTCGTGTAAAGTCCTGTGTCCCTTAAAGAGGAGGTGGTTCTCAAAGAGAAACACTGGAGGAAGTTGGTTTTGGGGGAGGGGATAAAGCTTAAAATATGATGACTCTCCCAAGCTTCCAAGAGCCAGGTTATAGCAAGGTGAGGGTGGTGGTGCTCTGGCCAGAAGCCTTCCTAGGCTGCTCTGTTGGGGCCCACCCTCTGCTTCTCCCTCCACCCTCTCTCCCCAGCCCCAACCAGCTGCCACTGAGTTGACTTCGGCTCATGATGACCCCATATGTGTCACAGTACAACTGTGCTCCATAGGGTTTTCAGTGGCTGATTTTTCAGAAGTAGATTGCCAGGACTTTCTTCTGAGGAACCTCTGGCTGGACTCAGATGTCCAGACTCTCTGTTAGCAGCCACGTTAACTGTTTACACCGCCCAGGGGCTCCTTCCCCAACCCCAGGAGACTGGTTTTGATGAGATACCAATGAGGGGTCCTGATGTATTAAATAAGACAACCAAGAAATTCAGAGATGATTGTAATTAAACAAGCACCTCACAAGAGACCAGACCTCAAACCTTCTGTCACCAACCAGTAACAGGACACCCCCAGATGGATGGTACCATCTTCCTGGCTGGAACTTGTACCTGGTCAATGGAGATCAAGAGACAGCCCCTTTGGATGTAGTGACTTGAAAGACGGGGGTCCAAACCCTCCACACTCCTTCCAGCCAACCCAAAGCACAGTCCCCTGGGCCAGGTTACCACGGTGAAAGATGGAATTCATAAAAAAGTACTACCTGTTACATTAAACAAGTCAGATGTGCAGCCAGTGCAGACCTGGCTGCCGTGTGGCGGATTCAGAGGAGCCTTGGATGTGTGAGCAGCCCCTGCAACCACGGTGCTCTGCAGGCCCTCACCCCGAGGGCATCCCATCCCTCTGCCCCAAGCCCAGCCAGGCTCAGGCTCCAGCTCCCACCTCACAGGCACCTTTGTGCTGGGCCCCTCGATGGCGATGGTGGCCGGGCCTGGGGGCAGAGGGGGTGGGTGGTGGGCGGGCCTCGGCCCTGCACAGATGATAAAGTTCAGCTCTTGGGTTGTGTCCTCTTGTCCTGGAAGAGGGAGCCTGGCATGTGCAGAGTAGACATTTTTTTTTGCAAAATTTATTTTTAAGCTCCAATAGTTTTTTTTTTTTTTTTCATATGAGCCTCATCATAAAAACTAATCATTTATGGCTGCACAACATGGTGAATTTAGTTAATGTCACTGAATTGTATATTTAAAAGATGATTAAGAAGGCAAATGTTTTGTTATATATGGGTTTACCACAGTTAAATTTTAAAAGAAAAAAAATCTGAAAACACAACAACAACAAAATGGCAAGCTTTAAATTCCAAATAAAGTTTAACTTGTCCTCAAAAAAGAATAAAAAGAGGAGAAAAAAAGAATAATCTGTTTCTTAGCTAAAAATCTGGTTTGGGTTTTCTCTTCTGTCATGCCGTCAAGGAAGCCAAATTAAGCCCCAGGAACCCTCCTGTTGGAGTGTGATGTGAATGGTTAACACGCTTGGCTGCTAACCGAAAGGCTGAAGGTCTGAGTCCACCCAGATGCACCTTGGAAGAAAGGCCTGGTGGTCTACTTCCGAAAAATCAGCCACTGAAAACCCTTTGGAGCACAGTTCACCTCTGATGCATGTGGGGTCACCATGAGTCGGAGTCAACTCAAGGGCAGCTGGTAGGTGGGTAGGTGGACTTCCTCCCTTCAGACCCTCCATGTTTGCTTTTCCTATTAGGAGATCTGGAGAACAAAAGGTGCCTACGTTTAAAATCAGCTTTACTTTCGTAGTTCTCAAAATGTAGATAAGGCCTGTGATGGAATTGAGCTTGTGGGGTGTTTTACTTGTCCATTTCCTCCCAGGGTCCAGTTAACCTTGATTGTTCGTTTATGCAGCACAGCGTTTCCTGGGCCTCTCTTGTGTGCCAGGCGCTGTCTGGGCACCGAGGCCACAGCGCTGAACAAAACAGATGACTTCCTTCCCCATGGAACTTGGAGTCCAGCAGTGGCAGGCAGACAACAGAGGACATGAGCAAAATACAGAGTGTGTCCTGGTCAGCGCTGAGGAGAAAAGTAAAGCCAGGGGTGGGGGTAGCGTGCGGGGTGGGCCAGGAGCACCAGAGGCCCCGCAGCAGGCGGCAGGAGTACCCGGTGGGTTTCTGGGGCCGGCAGCCACGAGAGGGGCCGTGGGCGGGGGCATCCCGGCAACTTCAGGGAAGCAACCCTTCTGGAGTGGACAGGGGCCAGGCAGGGCGGGATGAAGGGAAAGCGGAGGAGGGGCTGAAAGGGACACTGACAGGGGGACTGTGTCGCAGTCATCCAGGGAGGGATGGCAGGGGTGGGGGCAGAGCGACAAGGTGGAGAGAGGAGGTTGGGCTTAGGGGAGACTGAGAAGGCCCTTCAAGAGTCACGCAGAACACTGGCTCAGAGCTTAGCTGGGACTTCTAGGAGTTTGGAATTAAGTTTTAAGAGAGGGTGCTTCTCTGAAAAATAGCCTTGGTAGAGGCTGTGTTGCCAAGGTGGCAGCCACTTAAAAATGACTCCTCAAGACTTTCCCTCTACCCACGGGAGCTCGCCACCTCTTGGAAGTGGCTACTGACGTCCATGGTCCCTGCTGACAGGCTCTCCCCATGCATCTGTGGTAAGTCCCAGAGAAACACCAACCTCCCTCACCCCTCAGTGGGGTCTGTGCCTGCCCCACCACCTCATCCTCACCCAGCGCCCACCTGAGCAGGTCCTGACCACCTACTCTCCAGAGGATGACAAGCCTGCAGAGGCTGCGGGAACAGCTGCGTTGTCCAGCCGGTGGGGCCCCTTCCTGAGACTT